GTTGGACTTGATGGTCTTAAAGGTCTTTTCCAACCTAAGCGATTCTATGATTCTACCAGCAGGCAAATAAACTATATAACCTAGGAGGTGTTTCTGTGATTGTAGCATTCCTTAGAGTACAGAGATCAAGAACTAAAATAGACTATTCACTGCCTTTTGCTCTGATGTTGGTTGTTTCAGCTCCCACTCTGGTCATTCACTGATACAGCCGCAGTGTGTGCCAATGGAAATTAGTTCTCTGACCTCACCAGTGAACTTAATGAATGTGAGAGGGGGGAGTTGAAAATTTATGGATACGGTTTTATACTGTAACGTTGTGGGCATGCTTGTTTTACATATAAGCATTTTGGGCTAGCTTTAGGCCTGGTAGCTGAGCTTAGTGGAGCTATCCCTCTAGTCTCATTATGCCTTTAGGTGTATTACAGGGCAAATAGGTGTATTATTGACAAATATTATCCAATAAAGAACTTTTCTTGCTATAATGAATATGGAAATCTTTCAGTTTTTGCCATTACTTCTTGATTTTTTTCTTTTTATATAGTTTTGCGTAAGTGATGATAATTCATCTGTTTATCACAGAATCACAGGATGGTTGAGGTTGGCAGGAACCTCTGGAGGTCATCTGGTCCAAACCCCCTGCTCAAGCAGGGCCACCTAGAGCTAGTTGCCCAGGACAGTGTCTAGATAGCTTTTGAATATCTCCAAGGAGGGGAACTCCACAAGCTCTCTGGACAACCTGTTCCTCTGTTTGACCACCCTCAAAGTAAAAAGTTTTCCCTTACGTATTTCAGTGTGTGCCCACTGCCTCTGGTCCTGTCACTGGACACCGCTGAGAAGAGCCTGGCACTGTCCTCTGTGCACCCTCCCTTCAGGTATTTATATATATTGATGAGGTCTCCCCTGAGCCTTCTCCTGGGTAAACAGTCCTAGTTCTCTCAGCCTTTCCTCATAGGAGAGATGTTCCAGATCCTTAATTTTAACTCCTTGTGATCTAATTCTTCATGAACTGATTTAATTCAGATACTTATTAGAAATTATACAGGAAGAATTTCAGTTTTTTCTTAAAATCGTTCATCAATTAAGCCCTAGATTTGGCAGCTTAGGTACTTTTTCAGGAATGCCTTAGTGTGAGGCTGTTCAGTAGAAGACCTCCTAGGATATAGAACACTGTCATACTCCAGGACTGTGTAGCTTATGGGAGGGTCATTCTTGTTTGTAGGAGAACAGAGACAGAAGCCTCATCTGTTTTGGAGATGGACATTTGATCACCCTTTCCCAGATAGGTTATATCTAGAAACAGTGGGCAAAGGGAGGATGCACGGAGCCTGCCTTTAAATAAAATAATTTCAAACCTGTTTTGTTTGTAGGAGAACAGAGACAGAAGCCTCATCTGTTTTGGAGATGGACATTTGATCACCCTTTCCCAGATAGGTTATATCTAGAAACAGTGGGCAAAGGGAGGATGCACGGAGCCTGCCTTTAAATAAAATAATTTATCAAACCTGTTTAAAGTTCTAAATCCATGCTTGAGGTGACTGCTGTCCTTCCTTTCCAGGCATTCGGTATCTATGGATTCTTGAAAATATGATG